AAAACCTTCGTGACAAACCTTCCTGACCTGTGTAGACACCTACCCTCTCGTGACTGGCCTGGCGTGTGGCATGGGCGCGCCCGTGTGCGCCTGCGTCTCCATTTGGAAATGTGTCGGCCCTTTCCGGCCCCGAGGGGATCGCAAACCTCGGGCGCGCACCACTGTGTGTGGGCGCTGCACGCGATCAGGACTAACAGCTCCAACCGGTAAAACAGCCCTGACTTCATCCCGGTGCCCACTGTGCCTGCGCACCGAGCTGCGCGCCCAGGCGCCGGAACATCTAGGTTTGCGCCGAGCCATCCCCGCGGGGCCCGCCCTGAGCGCCTCTCAAAGCTCCCCTCTCGCCGCCCGCCTTCAGCCGCCTCCCCTCCCGCGTCCCCCACAACACCTGGCGCCTGGGGCCCTGAAGCTCAGAGAGCAACCCCCCATGGGCCCTGCCCCATCCACCATCCCTCGACCGACCCGCCGGGCCCCGCACCTTGAGGCGCGCGTGGGCTTCAGCTGCGGGCAGCAGGCGGTGGCCGCGGTGGGAACCCAGCGAGGCGCACACGCCGCACACGAGCGCGCGGTCCTGCTCGCAGTAGATGCTGAGCGGGTCTAGGTGCTCCTCGCAGTGGCCCTGCGGCACCTGTGCCAGCCCCTCCACCAGGCGCGCCAGCTGCAGGTTGGTGCTGAGCGCCTGCGGCCGCGTGGGTGCCTGACAGGACGGGCAAGGCGCCGTGCCGTCCGCCCCCGGCTCCCCGGCCACTCGGCTCAGGCAGGCGCGGCAGAAGCTGTGGCCGCACTCTGCTGTCACCGGCGCATCGAACAGCTGCAAACACAGCGGGCAGGACAGCTCCTGGCGCAGGAGACCGGGCGCAGCCGACATGGCGGCCTGGGTACAGGAGAGGTCAGTCAGGGAGACTCAGCCCCAAAAAGATCCCCCATCGGGGCGTTGTCTCAATCCCAGTTCCTACACACAAGCCCGGGTTGGGGTCTTACCCACTGTCCTTCCCTGACTTAGGCCCAGATTCTCCAAAGCGGCCTGCCGACCCTCCCGCCCTCACCTCCCCAGGACCCCCAGCACCCCCTCCCCATTATCTCCCAGCCCACAGCATCCATGGACTCACAGGTCTGGTTGGAGATCACAGGCAAAAAGAAACTCCCAGGTGAGGCCTAACTAAGTGCAGGGGGTCAGGGTGGTGTCTGAAGACAGGTGAGAGGCAAGCGACCAGCTCGGAGCAGGGACGGGCGCTGGCACTCACGGGGCAGCTAGCAGTGGACACCACAGCTGACCGGCAGCAGTGACTGGCAGAGGGAGCCTCCCTCGTGAGCCCTGGCCCCAGGACTATATTTAGCTGCCCTGACTCTCCCTCCTATCATTTCTGGAAACCATTCTAAAAGTAAAGACTGAGTGGTCAGGGAATAAGCAACACATGTCAAGGCCACCTGTCCTGGCCCATCCCACTGTCCCCTCCGCTGCCCAATCTGAAGCCAGCGCTCAGAGCCAGCAGAACACAGGGCCTCTCCATAGGACATCCCAACACCACAATCTGCAGCTTCCCCCTCCCCAAGGGGGGCCCCTGCCCAGCTTGTCACCCACTCACTATTTGCCAAGCTGATGACTCGCTCTCACACCTACGGTATTATCTCCCCATGCAGGACAGGGCCTCGCCCCACCCTGGAAGGTTTTCTTCCTCCAGGGCTGAGGAAAGAGTCTTTTTTCTGTCTCGCCAGAGCTCAGCTCAAGCCCAGGGACAAGCCTGACCTCCCTAAATGCTTGAAAATAAATATTCCACTGGCAGTTGAATAAATGAATGAATTGAATCCAGAGCCTGCGGCCCAGAAGCAGAGTCTGCCTGGCAGCCCCAGGCCCCTCTGTATGCTGATCCTTGAAATCTCCGCTTAAATTCCATTGAGAATAAAAACCAAAGTCCCTGTGGCCTACAAGGCTCTACCCAATTAGACCCATTTGTCTCACCGGTCACCCCCTTGCTCACTCCAGCCAGGCCTTCGTACTTGCCATCCCCTCTTTCTGGAAAACTCTTTCAAAGGACGGTCTTTTTTTCTCTCGTTTTTTAAGAACAAAACAGGTATATTTCTATTGGATTACCTGATACAGAGGATAGTGTGGTATGGATGGATAGTATGAATGATAAATAATACAAATATATTTTATTTGAAATAAACAAATATGCTTACACAGCTCAATAGGTCACTTGGAAACAAACTCTTGCTTGACTGTATTACTGAGCAAAAACAAAGCTGAAACACAAACACCCTTCTTTTTTTTTTTCTTTTTTTTTTTT